CTCTCTCTCTCTCTCACGCACACACACACACACACACACACTTTTAATGACCCTGTAATCCATTGCATTGGGGTAGAATCAAGGCAACTGAATGGAGCTGCGCATTTACTGGCTGGCTGCCCTTTCTGATGCCTATGTGGAGTTCACAGCAGATATTTTCTCTTTGTGCCTAAAGAGAGAAATAGCTGCTGCTATGTAGGATCAATCTCACAGCCTCCTGACTGTGAGAGCTCCATCTCTAGGCCATCACATCACTCAAAGAGTGATATATATCTAGGCCACTTAAATGCTTTGCTTCTTGTTTGCTTACTGACTTTCGACACCACATTTTCTTTTTGCCAGTATTTGACCAGTATCTTTTCTTAAATCATCAAGATATTCCTTGGATACCTTGAAAGGGCCTATACATTTTTGTCATCAACTTTTTAAGCCAAATGATGTCATTGGGGGCAGATTTTCAGTCAAAGATACAGTCAACGTTGAAGGAGTTACATAAAAAAAGAGATAATTAATTCTATAGTTATACATTATTTAATTTTTTTACTGTAGGAGATCATTCATACATTGAACTGGAACATGTAAGTACTCTTTGACTTATTGTACAACCGAAATTGAGACTAGAATTTCCATTGCTAAGCAATGTGATTGCTAAATAAGTTGTGCCTGATTTCATGACATTTTTGTCATGGATGTTAAGCAAATCACTGCAGTCATTAAGCAAATATGGCTTCCCCTATTAATTGTGCTTGTCAGAAGCCAGCTGGGAAGATTGCAAATTCTGATCACCTGACCTCAAAAAGGTGGAGCCATCACAAATACATTATGTGACTATGGGAATGCTGCAATGGTTGTAAACCGTTTTTTTTAGGGCTGTTGTAACTTTGAATGGCCGCTAAATGAAGGGTTGTAAGTGGAGGACTTCCTGTAAAATAGTTTGTTTCTTTTTGAATCAGAATGCTTTGTGACTCTAAGCTCTGTGGTTTGTAAAACATGGTTCATGATTTAAATATGCTATGGAAAACTCAGTAAAATTGTTGCTTAGATTGTGTTTGAGGAAAACATGACTTATAGCAATGTGTCATGCCCCTGGTGGAGACTGACTCTGAAGGAGAGGAGGAACAGCCAACAGGGAGTGGAAGTGTGGCTCCAGAGGTTGTGGAGGAGGCTGGGAAAGGGCAGAGGCCAGCTGAGCAGTCAGAGGAGGATCTAGGCCCATCCCCTCTCCATCCTAGGGCACACAGGGAGGAGAGGATAAGGGAGAGACATGGTCTACCGGGGAGGAGAGGACCTTGATCCTTTTCATGGGCTGCAGCTGTGACAACTGGATAAGAGGACGGACATGCGTATGGGCGAGTGCTGGAAACAAAGCATGGAAATATCTCTAGTTTATTGTCCCTCTCTGAGTTTGGCATCCTTCCCAGTGTGTGTTCTGATATCTGTGGATGTCTTCCAGCCCTTATCTTGCCTGGTTTGTGTTGTTTTTTACTCTTCATAATTTAAATGGCATTTCCTCCTTCTTGTAACTGCTTGTGTGGGAGTTTTTTGTCTCAGTGAAGGAATAAAAGGGGATTCACCTGTTTTTTGTGACTATGTTTATTTTGTATCCCACCCTGGGTCATCACAGCAATGTATAAATATATATACATACCTTGAACCCTTCATAGCAAATCCATAATAACCCAACACTGAAAAAAGGCACTGGGGTAAGCAAGCCCAGATGCCTGTGCCAGAGAGAAATGATGTTGTATGCGTCATGACATCATTTTTGCAAATGATGTGAATTATGTATTTTGCATCTGTTATAGATGCATATTTTTTGAAGATATAGAAGCCCAGAGCCTGAGTTGGAACTGAGAGACTAACTTTCCACCTTAACACAGTTCTTTCCCCATTTGACGCTTAAATAGTCTTTGTCAGTACATTAAGGTACCATTTCGACTTATTTTCCTTCTTGCAGGAAAACATCTCAGAATACAAACCCTAAACTTAAGAGATTTTTCCAAAGATACTGCCTCCATATGGGTATCAGAAACCTATCCCCATTGTGCTTCAATCCTTACCTTGACAATGAGGCTGTGGACACTGTTAGATTTGCTTTGGGGTGACATATGCTGTTTCACTGCTCTTCTGGACACTTTCACCGTCCAAAGGATGAGCGAGTAGGAGATAATTATCAGGATGCATGGAATGATGTAACAGAAGACAAAGAGGGCCATGATGTAGAATTTGGCTTCTCTGGTTGAGGCTTTCCATTTGATGCAGCACGCCGTCCCGTAAGGTTCTAGCCCATAGCTGCCCCAGTCAGCCAAGGGAGCCACTGCGAAGATGAATGCATAAATCCAGACACAGGCTAGCAAGACCCCAGCATATGGCGGAGAAAATTTATTGCCTAAAGAAAGAAAGGGAAGGAGACCGGTCAGAGTTTTTCCCAATAAAGCAATCTGCTTATTCGTTTAAAGGATTCTTTGCCTGAAGTGGAAGCAAGAAAATGGACGGAGTAGCATAATCAAAGCTAACAGTCTGAAATGGAAATATGTCGATTTTTACTTTTTTTTTTTTTTTACCTCAGTGAGAATCTGAGGAGGTCACATTTTCAACAGTGTTGACTGAAATGTCTTGGGATGGAAGCACTGATAATAGTCAGTCTACTACACTTACGATAGCTATAAAACAGTTTTACGATGCTTTTCTTGATGGTTGTTAAATGAATGAGGGGATCATAAAGCAAATGTGGCTGTTGTAAATTGGATGCAATGGTCAATAAGTGTACCAATGGGTGTGGTTTTTCTCAATATTTCTGCTACCTAAGAAGGCTACATGAGATGACTATAAAAGGGAAACAGCGTTTGTGAAATATTGGTATTTTATAATCTGAACTTCACTATCAAAGCTAACACCATGACTGTATATAATAGTAGGATTTATTTATTATTTATTTATTTATTAATTATTTATTTTTGTCAATTGCTTACAAGATAATAGGTATAAGTATACACATAGTTATGAATACATGGATACATATAAGAAAAAAAACAAAAACAATAGGACAGGGATGGTAGGCATGTTGGTGCGCTTATGCACGCTCCCTACAGGCCTCTTAGGAAAGGGGTGAGGTCAATAGTAGACAATCTAAGGTTAAAGTTTTTGGGGTTTGGGGAAGAAACCACAGAGTCAGGTAGAGTATTCTAGACATTGACCACTCTGTTGCTGAAGTCGTATTTCCTGCAATCAAGTTTGGTGCGATTAACCTTGAGTTTGTATCTATTGTTTGCTCTTGGGTTGTTATGGTTGAAGCTGAAGTATTCATTGACAGGTAGGACATTGCAATATATAATTTTATGTACTATACTTAGATCGGACTGAAGGCGGCATAGTTCTACGTTTTCTCGGTCTAGAATTTCGAGTCTGGTGGCATAAGGTATTCTGCAACGAGTAGAGGAGTGGAGAACTCTCCTTGTGAAATATTTCTGGACTTTCTCAACTGTGTTAATATCAGATACGTAATGTGGGTTCCAGACTGATGAGCTGTATTCGAGTATTGGTCTAGCAAATGTTTTGTATGCCCTAGTTATTAGTGTAATATTACCAGTGAAAAAGCTATGTAAGATTAGGTTAACAACTGTTAATGCCTTTTTGGCTATGTAGTTACAGTGGGCTCTAGCACTTAGGCCATTAGAGATGAGTACTCCAAGGTCCTTGACAGAGTTTGGATCATCAACAAGGTCTTGACAAGCCTGTATTTTATTTTCTGATATTTTTTGCCAATATGTAGGACAGAGATTTGTTGAGATTTGAAGTTGCCATTTGTTTGACCATTCTGATACATAGTCAAGATCTTTTTGAAGGGTAGCAGTATTGTCTGTGGTGTTGAATAGCTTTACATCATCAGCAAAGAGAACGCAGTTGCTCTTGATATGATCACAGAGGTCATTTATGTAGAGTATGAAAAGAGTTGGTCCTAGAACACTGCCTTGGGGGACACCACTGTTGACAGGTACAGAATTTGATAGGACGCTCCCAATTTTGACCATTTGTTGTCTGTTTGACAGGAATGCTTCTATCTAGTTATGGTCCAGAGATACTGCAAGATTTTAGTTTTAGGAGTAGTTTGTCGTAAATCAAAGGCTTTACAGAAGTCTATGTAGATTGCGTCTATTGCTTTGCCCTGATCAATTTGTGTAGTCCATATGGTTTTGCAGTGTAAGAGTTGCAGATTACATAATAGTTTTTTCCTGAAACCAAATTGTTTATTAGAGAGTAGGTTGTTTGTCTCTAAGTGGAGGATGATGGATTGGTTAATAATTGATTCCATGACTTTACAGGTGATGCAGCATAAAGAGATTGGTCTGTAATTTTCAACTAGGCTGGGGTCTCCCATTTTGAAGATAGGGATGACCGTGGCTTGTGACCATAGTTTTGGCAAGGAGCTGGTCCTGAAAGATTTTTCAAAGAGGTTCGGCTTAGAGGTTCGAGGTTCGGTAATGGCAGTGGATAGCTTTTTAAAGAAGTAGGCACATATTCCGTCCAGTCCAATAGATAGAGATGGTTTTAGATTGGGTAGTGCTTTTTCAACATTGTCTTCTGTAAAATCGATATGCATTAGATCATTATAGTTTTCTGTGGTTTGACTAGGAAATACTGGGCATGATCCATTGCTGTTTACAAATTCTGAGCCAAAGAATGTGTTAAAGAGGTTGGCTTTAATAGTGTCATCATTGCAGTCTTTACCATTAGGTCCTTTCAGGGGTGGGATGGACCTTGAGTCTTTTAGTTTGTTGTTTACAAAATTGTAGAAAGCACGGGTGGAATTGGTGCGTAGAAGGTTTTCTTCTTGTTTAATGTGATAATTGGTGCATTCAGTTTTTATCTGGTGGCATAAATTTTTGTATTGGCTTTTCAAGTTGGCAACGTGACCAGATTTGTTTTTCCGCCAAAGTTATTTCTTTTTGGATTGAAGCTTCCTTATTGTTATGTGTAATTTGTTTTTTTTCTGGTTTTGGGATGAGAGATCGTTGCTTATAAGATCATAGTTGCCTTTTTTGAAGTTATAATTGGGGATTTCATCATTGTGATGATTTTTGTGTGGACGTATGTTGAGACAAAAGTCAACCATGTTGTGGTCACTGTTGGAAAAGGGTTATTTAATTTGTATTCTGTAAAATGAATTCAAACTATTGCAGAAGATGAGATTGAGGCAGTTGTTAAGTCTAATGTTGTTGGTTACTAGTTGTTCTAGTCCCAGATTTGTTACTGCATTGTAGAAGGTTACATGTGTGGGTTCAGTTGTACATTCCTTAAGGGTCCAGTTAATATGAGGTAGATTAAAGTCACCAAGAAAGATAAAAGCATGTGGGCAGGATGCTGCCCATGTTAGTAGTGTATTTAGCTTGTTTGCATGTTCGATGTCATAATCAGGTGCTCTGTAACATAGTAAGAACTGAAATGTGATATTTAAGGACAGTTCCCAGACGATGGTCTCAGGAATAGCAAGCTCCTGGGTAACTTGGATGGGGTTTTTTTGTGTGACTGTATGACTGTAACATTGTTGCTTGTATCCGTACGATTTTTTATATTGACTGTTTCCTAGTATGATTTGATTGCTTATTGTACCCTATGACTATTATTAAGTGTCGTACCTTATGATTTTGACTCTTGACAAAGGTATCTTTTCTGAGAGCATATGCACTAAGACAAATACCTTGTTTGTCCAATCACACTTGGCCAATAAAGAATTCTATTCTATTTTAACCAGTCAGAGCACAGAAAAACTCAAAAGAAGTAGTGCAAGATTGGGTGATGTGGAGAGACCTGGCCCATAGAATCGCTAAGAGTTGGACATGACTGGATGGATAACATCAATATTCAATTGAACATATGGTTCTGGACTTGGAAAGCATGTTTATAATTTGGAATACATGACAGATTGGGGAAAAGTGTCTAGTGAGAGGGAATGTGATGACCCAGGGTGTGACACAAAAATAAAGTCACCAAAGTAGAATAAATTCCCTTTAATGCCTCTAACTTGGCCCCAATGTCCAATTATCCTCAGCTGGATAACAAACTCTTCAAAAAACAGTCTACGAAGTCCAAACCCTAAGTAAAGATAATTAGATATAGATAATTAGATAATTAGAAATAAAAAACCAACACAAACCACACTGAAGTAATTAACATGGCAGGCCAGGATGACAAATTGCAGACTTTCAAAGGATAATACAGCACCCACAGTTGGGAGGACACCAAAACCCAGACCAAGATAATGCACACTTTGCTTCCAGCAAGGAGCCCCACTTATATCCTGTTCTCCCAGCTGCAACTAATGAAGGGGATCAGGGCCTTCTTCTCTCTCATAAGCCACATTGCTCCCTTCTTTGTTCCTCCCTGAGTGCCCTAGGATGAAGAGGGGGTGGCCCTGGGTCTTCCTCTGAATGCCCAGCTGGACTGTGCCCTTCCCCCATTTCTTCCACAGCCACCGGATCCACACTCCCACTCCCTGTCAGCTGCTCAATCTCTCCCTCAGAATCAGACTCCAACAAGGGCATGACAGGGAATCAACCCTGTGATCTGAGCCACAGCCATGTGACTGGACTATCACAATGCATGGGGGAGGGGGGAAGGCCAGGCTTTGATTGCAAGGTTGTGAGTGCTGTTTTTATATTTTTGAACTCCGTCCCTGAAGGGGAACATTGTTGTTGCCTTATCTTATTAGAAGCTATTTTAGCCTTTACAATCCCAACCAGTGTCATTATTTAGAGTAACTATGATTATTCTCAGTTTTTGTTTCCCAGATAATTTGATCTCAGAGAATAGCAATATACCAGCTACCAAGGGACAAGAATCAGCTTTTTAGGTTCTGAGATTTACATAGTGCCTGAATGACCTTTTTCCAAAGAACTGCTGGAGATTATTTTTAAAAACACTATTTGCATGCACGGTTGGTCCCTCTGCTTTCTTGCAAAAAGCTATAGCAACTATGACAAACGGCCCTTAACTCGAAATTGCATATTTACATGGACATGTCAAGCTGCACTGGCCAGTATTTTCAGAAGCCCTTTTGACACATTATCTGTAATGTCAGGTTTGATCAAAAGATTTGGATTTGAGGACTGTATTCTCTCTGTATATAAAAGTAACTTCCGTTTACTTGAAGGTGAGTGATTTTATGGATACATCAGTGCCCGCTTTATAAAGCCAAGCGTATATCATATTGATGCTGATTTATCTAATACAATAGAAGCATTATTCATTCTGTCCTGTTTTAGACTTGCTAGCCAGAAGTAAAGAAGTTCTTTGGAATCAATTTGGGATAAGCAGGTAGAATCATAGCATGTTTATCAGAAACACCAAAGTTTCTTGGAGCATCCTAACATCCACGTTACAATATCTACA